TAAAGCTCTTGTGTTATCTTCTAGTACAAAGTTTAGTGGCAAGATTCCTCTCTGCCTTATCTTTGGAGAAAGATGAAATGGACAGAAATACAAATGTGTGAGTTACTCCACTGCAAAGAAACATTCTAACTACAACTAAAAAGGCAGATTTTGTTTGATTTGGCTCTCGTATTACAGAAAGACGCTTATTCTAATACACAGTTTTCCTTTAAATTATTCTTCCTTCACATTTTCATTAATTGTGTAGAAAATCTTGAGCCAAAGCTTTTATTAAGAAACTCATACAAGAATTTCCATAGTCACTAGAGAGTATTTCCTTATCTGACAGCTTAGAATATTTCATCCGAAGACAACAGTTCTATAGTTTTGAGCTGTGGTTTAAGCTTTTGTCACCTTGAACAAAGCATTTGAATTTCCATTGTTAAAATCCAGACTTTTAAACAGAATTCCAAAGCAATGTTATTCAAAGGTATTTTATAAGATATACACTGATTTACTCATTTTAAATAACATGCAACGTGCACCTCTTCACAGAGATTCAAAGTCCCAAAGAACACTGCACACTTACCTCTTCATATTTTACCCACTGTTCTTTTGGAAGGATCCGATGCTTCAAGCTTAAATCAAGCGCTCTCTTTATGCGAAACATTCTTTCATTGTAAAGATCCTCTGGAAGTCTCTTCAGTGCTTCTTTTACATCATCATCTTCATACAATGTATCATCTCGCATTAATCCTGTGCCAAAAATATTTTTACAATATCACTGAATAGATATTCCCAAGTAACACTCAAGACCCAACAAATACGTTTCTAAACTTGGGCGTAACACTTCAAATGCAAAGTTAGAAAGAAAACAGACACGTGTAGGAGAAGATAAACACTACTTCCCCAAAGAGATTAAAACTGTGAATATTGACTTCCACATACTTTCATTCCTTTTCTCAAGAAAGAATATGGAAAATGGATATTTGATTCAATGTGTTTCATGAGATATTGAGATCTGATTGTTGATTTCTGCTCTATTTTATACCCTTATATTTCAGATGGCAGTCTACGTAAGAGATTTAAGAACTGATTCTATTGCAGTCAGTTGATCACAGATGTGACTACTTGAGTATTTAAGAACAAATCTTTTAAATTTCACTGCTAAAAAAGCCTTGATGCCCATTGACTATAACAAGCAATGGAAACATGAAACCACTCAAGTTGTTTGTGCCTGAGTTTCTACTTCTTCCCTCCAACTGGGATTTAATTCAAGTAGGACCATCTAGTCCTCTGAAAGCCAAAACCACCACTTTTTTTTTTGTTTGTTTTTTTGAATGAAGAATTCCTGAAATTCAACCAACTGCTTAAAATTTCAGTATTAACAACAAAGAACAAAACGTTACTTCTGTATCATTCCAAGATTGATGCAGATTATATGAGTACAGCTACTGACTTGAGGTCTAAGGTTTTGATCTCACAGACTTGAATTGGAAGTAGTATCCCAATGAAACAGAATTTCTTTTAAGCAGCATATTCTTGAACTCAGTTTTGCAGTTTCTTGCTAAAGGCACAAGAAGCACAGTAACTCCTTTAATTACTAGATTTCAGAAAAGCAACAAAAAGCATTAAAGTCTTTAAGAATTTCAGGAAGCAGACAGCACTGCACCTCTATTACTGAGACAGTGGCAGAGGAATGAACATTGGTCATTCAAATTTATTTTTCCTCATGTTCCTGGGGAAAGTGTGTGAACTGCCTTTAAACAATTCACTCAAACTGCAGGCAGTAGTAGCAGTCTGCATGTTCAGATTCTTTTGTCTTTCAAAAACAGTTCTGCAATCTGTACTGCTGAAACAAGCTCAGTAATAACAATGGACAAATTAAGTATGATACCATCAAGCTAATCTTCACTTATAGAAACACCACTTTTACAGTTACTTGATCACTAAATAGGCTAGAGAATAAATCCTTTTTATGGAAATTGAACAGTTTGCACAAATGTTCCAGATAGATTGCTATTATAATCCAGACTGCTATTAGCATCAATCTCCCTATTTTCACGGATAGCATTTGGGAAGGTAATAAGGTTAGCAAATAGCGATGGGTGCAATTGACTTGGTGGGAAAAAAAGAAAGAATCAAGCTTTCAGGACTGCTTTCCAGAAGTGTCTTCAAGAGCTTCAGCCTGACTTTAACTGTTAAAAGGTATTTCACAGAAAAGGAGAGGAAATACAGAACAGAAGTCACTTTTTTCTAACTTTTTTCCACAATAAACATAGCAGCTAATATCAATAAAACAATTAGATAGACATTTCAAAATGCCTACACTGACCAGTTACCAATCGTAACCAGATTGAGGACTGTTACACTTGAAAAGCTTTAAGGCCCGATGAAATACTTACCATATTTGTTGAACCCAGCTGCATTATAATACCACTTTCGAATTCTGTCCATCAGGCGGCCACCTCCTGAAACTACAAACGACTGTCATCAGTTGGAGAGCAGCATAAAATTCAACATTCCACAACACTATGACAGCATGCAAATACTTGCCAATCTCTTTCACAGCAGCAGCGTGACACCACTCGAACTTATAGACATAGGCCTGTCTGCGTTACAGTATTGAGAAAGGGACACTGAACACATGGAATGAGTGCTTGTTGCTTACAGTGTTTTGACCTGTTCCACACAATTTAAATATCAGACTACTTTAAGACTGACATCACCACTAACCACTCACTACCAAAGACAGCAGCAACAGTTTCAAGCTCCATCACTCTTACACGAGCTAAAAGCAGTGTTCTACCACCACGCTTTTCTAACCTCATACTCTTAAGCTTTAGGACCCAAGAGGAAACATCGCTAAGGGACAGAGCAATGCCAGCATTCGAGCAGGTCACCGGAGCCCGAGGCCTCTCAGAAAGGCGGCGGCTCCCAAACTCCTTCCAATCGCTTCCGAGCCCCTCGGCCCCAGCGCTCGAAGCCCGACAGAGGCCCGAGCTGAAGGACAAGGCTGAGACAGAGGTCACCGAAGGGCTAAGGACACAGGGTGCCCAACGCGACCCCAACTCCCCGCCCCGGCCCGCAGCCCCCCAGAGCAGTAGGAAGGACGGCAGGACGAAGACAAGTTCGATGGGACAAGCCCCGCGCCGAAGCCGCCCCGATCGCGATCCCTCCTCCTTCTCACCCGTTGCCCTCGCCGCCATCTTGACCTCGGAGCGGCGCACTGCCTGTTGGGAGCGGCCTGCTGGGGACGTCGCGGCGCCGCAGGGAGAGGAGAGGCCGCCAATAGCGGCGCAGCGCGGGCGCATGCGCGTGGGCAGAAGGCCGGTGTGGGCATGGCCCGCTGGGAGGGGGCGGTGACGGGGGCACAGCGCGGCTTATCGGGTGCGCAGTGCTGCGGTTTTAAAGAGTGGCAAATACATAAATAATTGATTAACCCCAAAGCTAATAACTAATTACACTACTTACACCTCTACAGCGCTCCCAGCCGAGCAGCACGCCGGAGGATGGCCGGTGACTGCAGGCCAAACGTTTCTTCTGCAGGCTATTCCATCCTCAAGCAGAAAAGCACTTGGCGTGAGGCAGCTCTGCTGTCCTCTCTCCTGCCTTGTCTCAGCACTTGCATAAAGTCGGTTGTTGTCTTTCTTCGCGGTGTTTCTGGGAAGTATATCTGGCACAAGCATTCAGCATTTCAAAGAAGCTGTGTTAGCTCTGGCTGCAGTGGGTTTTTTTGTTTTGTTTTTTTAAATACATTCAGAAAGATGGAAGTTCAAATTTTAAGCCATCCAAAATGTGGTACATGCTCCACGGTACAATGGTTTGTCACAAACCAGTTAGGTGCTGAGCACAGCGGAGCAAATGCACAAAAAAAAAACACCTCTCATATCTGCATACAAAGCCTTTTTCAGCCTTACTTCTGCAACACAAAGCGTCACTTAATGTTCCAACCCCAAGCTTTTAACAAATGGAGACGTTTTCATTAAATAAACGTAAATCCAAATGAAAACATCTGGATTTTAATTTCCTGACCTACTTTAACTGGAAGAATAGAAGCTTCTAAACAATAAAGTGTTAGCTTGCATTTGGACAATCAGCTTGCATTTTGTAATTCTGTATTAACGTAGTTCATTCATTGATAGTATAAAATACCTTCTCTATTCCCCACAGTTCCCATTTTACTTCAGTTATAATTGAGCCAATTAACGACACACTACAGCCTCTTTTTGTGTGGTTATTTCTATACTAAAGACATACAAATCACATCAGGGTGAAGCCAAACTGCTTCTCCTGTCAACAAGGCAAAGACAAAAGTGATTTAAAACAAAACTAGACACATCCCTAAAATTTTAGAAGAAGCCTTTTTTGTTTTTCTTATTGTGATTTGCCTAGATTCAATTTGCTGTGGGTTTTTTTTGTTGTTGTTGTTGTTGTATTTCAAGCCAAGTTTCACAGCACAGCTTTTAGGATATGAACTTCAGAAGCCAGCTTCAAAGAGAAAAACCTTTGTAACCTGTTAAAAAAATGCCCTTTTGTACGAGGAACTTTACATACGTAATAGTGTATTCCTCTCTGACATATAAAAGAGCAAATAACATTACTAGCTTCTAAGATGAGAACGTGTAATTGTGCCACTTCTCTGCTACTACATTAGCTTGCTAACTACATTAACTTGCTATTTTCTTAGAAAGGTGAGGGAGAAGACAGGAGGAGAGACTGGGAAGAAATCACTAACCAGTCTTTCCATCTCCCCAAACTCCAAATTACTGAAAGTAAAACAAAACAAAAAAATCCACTTCAATTTACTTTTCTGTTAGTGTGCTCCATCATTCATGCTGAATTAAAAGATAGCAATTAATTTCAAGGATTACATCAGTATCAGTCAACATATACTCACCTAACTCTTTTTAAATATACTTCTAAGTCACCGTAAACATTGCTGTAAGCCTTTACTTATGAAACACTTGTAGGACGTAATTAATTCTTAAACAATAAGGAAGTTGAGACCTTGAAAGAAGCAGTTTTTAAAAATGTTTATTTCATAGCTTTATTCCTTTCTACATGTGTTAATAATTAAATTGTTTTTAAGAATTTTTCAAAGTCCTGCATGGAGGCTTTGGCAATCTCTGTACAAAACACCTCATCAGGTAAGGACGCAAGCTGGTCCAGAGAGATGTAGCCGGGTTGAGTTGGGTCATACTGGGCTCTTCCCAAGAATATAAGAAACATATGTCTCTCTTTGATTCGTAATAGCTTTGAGTTGAAAACCTAAGAAAGCAGAAAGAAAGAATCCTAAAATCATAAAAGAGAATCTTTTAGGTAGTCTAAATTTCAGACTCCAATGAATCTAAAATAAAACATTCTTCAGACAAACTGGAGCACACAAACAGATAATTTATATCTTTCCTCCTCATTTTTGTCAACCATCCAGTAGTTCATATTTATATATAAAATTATTTAAATTCTAGACGAATGTTTCAATATAACATGCTGAGATGCATACACCAGGAAAATCAGGGACCAACACAACTCTCTTGAGCATGATACTTAGTACATTTATGTAAGATAACTACATGCTATAATTCATGGAATCACAGCCAAAGGAGTGAAGAAGACATTTGGAAACAGAGAAAAAGATTACCAAAACATTTTTCCTCTATTATCAGGAATGCTTAGATTTAGATTAGCATTGTTATGGGGAAGAAATGAAGAGGTAACAACCACAGAACAGTGGCAGCAGAAGAGGTGAATGGCTGCATCTTCTTTTATAACACAATCAAAAGGCACAGTGCAGTAGTTCAGAAAATCCATTTGTTTTCTTTTGCACAACAATGTCTACCTTTGAAGATATTTGTCACAAAAAGAACTGCAGGCTATCAGAGGGTGAAAATAATGGTGAAATGAATTAGAGGAACACATTTGAAAGAAAAAAAGTGGGGAAAATGGCAGGATGCAGATGTATCATGTGTGGACAATGTGGGAGTCAAAGGGACATGGCCAAGCCAGAATACATAGAAACTGAATTGCCCTAACCCTGTCCTGAAACCCCTCACTTTTGAGGATGGGAGAGAAGAGATGGCTGCAGTTTTGGCTACACAAAAAACATGGAATGGAAGAAACTCTCCACTTTCTCTTCCAAACAAAAGGAACAAAAATAACAAACAAGGTGAAGCATGACAAAGCCACAACAACGTAACTGAGAATGTAGTGAACAAGACTTGTGATCACTTACAGGTCAAGTAAAACAGAAGTGAGATACAAACTGGAGATATAGCAACCATCAGTGTCAGGTAATGGTAGATGTAGTACGTAACAAAGTAAGTAATAAAAATCCAAAAGAGAAGTCATATTTCCCCCACACAATTTTTGCTTTTTAGTCAATCCTCAACAGTTGTTGAGTTGCCAATAAAAAGTTATCTCAAATAGAGTACAAGTCACATAAAAATAGAAGAATTGTATGTCCTGTATACAGTGAGCCTCCACTTTCACCAAACCAGTAATTCAGAAAACCTACTTGTCTTCTCTTGCACAGCAACATCTGCCTTTGAAGATATTTGTCACAAAAAGAATTGGAAACTATCAAAGGGTGCAAATGATGATGAAATGAATTAGATTGTGCAAACAGCACCTCCAATTTAGATTAACAGCTCACCTGAGGAAAGCGAGTAAGCATGTTGTGGGGAATGCCCATTATGTTGTGCAGGTAGTCAAATGTCTGCCTGAGTCTCTTTTTACTTGCAGTTAAAATCTTGGGAGTTTTAAACGCAATCTGCTGAACTTCGTTACGTTGAAAACCAAATTCAACTTGACAAACCTGAAAAAGAGAACAATATTCAAAAGTCAGATACAACAAAGTTAGCTTGTTTTAACATGCCAGTGAAATAAGCTAATGTAAAATTACTCTTTTATTACACAGTAATATGAATGCAATCCGTAATAATCTAATCCTTTGAAGTCAGGGAGCATGAACTGTTCATCACCCCTGGATTGAAGTATAATTTGTTTATAGAACATTCTTGAAATTTAAATTACTTGTGTGAATGCTACCTATTTTACAGTTTGTCTGAGATATGAACCAAAAAAACTCCTGTATCTTGGTATGCATGGCAGTTACAAGCATAAAAATTCTCCCCCAAGAGCTTTTCATCACTTCCAATACCAGACTTCCAAAAGAGACTGACATTTTAGTTGTGGAGCTGTTGAACCCAGTAAAACACAGTAATCAAAGTGACTACTTTTGTTTATGTGTTATTTCTTTTGCTAATGTATTCAAGTCATATTTTCTATACTAGGGACTATAATTTCAATCCTGAACTCTACTGAAAGAGCTGTGCAAAACAGCTCTTCAGTTCATTTTACAGTTGGTTCACATCTAAAGTAAGATGTCTTTTTCAAAGCCTGCCTTGACTTTAATTATATTCCTCAAAAGGAAAATAAAACACATTTTTTCAATAAAATCATGAGAACTCCTCCCAGTGTGCAGGCAGCAAGCAGTTCAGAGTTGTTGATCAAGGAATTTAGCATCCAAGAGCATCTCATAATTCAGCCCTTTCTTCTATCCGAATGTGACATTTACAAGGAACTTGCTTTCAATCATGTAGTGGGTATGCTTGCCAGTCAACATAAAGCAGACTTTGAAATCCAACTCAGGTACTTCTTCACAGCTGGCAAAAAGGATGATGCTTTTTGTTTGTCCAATTTGATGTGACAACACCAAAGCTCCTTTCCAGGATTTCCTGGCAAATGCAAAGCAAAGGGTCTGGAATCTGGGTTTTGAATACACCTTTTAAGATACCTTTGGCAATTGCTTCCAAAGATGACTGTAATCAGGTCTGCCAACTCCTGATTCTTTTTTATCTGCTTTATAAATATTTCCTTATCATGGAAATACTAACCAAGACAGCAGTCACGTATGAAGGTATGTGTTTGCACTACAGAGGTGCTTTCCACAGATCTGAGTTGGCAGGGGTAGCTTATTGCATTAAGAATTACAACTGAAAGTACGGCCTGGTCTTAAATCAGTGGAGATATACGGCTGGCTCTACTGCAGAGTTAGTTCTGGCAAGTCTCTCCACCTCGTCTTTTCTGCGCTATGAAACTGAGCAACAGTTTTCTGGACATAAATAGGGAGCTCAATTGTAAATTGCTTTAAGTGTTCAGTTAATACACTTAATAGTCAGTAATTCTCTACGCCACATGTTAATTTCCTGACTGTGCAAGTCCTAGCTCTTACCAACACACTCTATGTGATTCCCCCAACACATCCTGGTAATGCAAACTTTCCTGTTTTATTCTCTCAATGAATCTCAAATTGTGCTTGATGAGAACTTCAGAGGATTGAATAATCTACCCCTGAGATTGCTTAATCCATGTTAGCATGTCCTGACAACCAGTGTTGATTGTAGCACTTGTTTCTAAGCTGCAGTGAGGGATAGCACCGGATCACTTGCAAATGCTGTTAAATGGTTACACTTTGTGAATGCTGCTTGCCCACCCGAGGTAAGGATACACAGGTCAGAAATCAGATTCTGAGTTGGATTCATTCAACCTCCTGAAAAGATGGCGCTTCTAAGTATCAGTAGATTCCAACATCAAGGACCTAGAATTCCTCCTCTTCTCTCTATGTGTTAAAAGTAGGAATGCTACAATAACAACAATACTTTACACTTCCTTGTAGGTAGACAAAAGATAGTCACCAAGAACTGAAAGTCTCAGAAAGTGCATTCATTGTAATATACTGACTCCCTAGCCTGTGGAAACAATGTTCATTAAAAAGAAAGCACTATTAATTGGAACAGTCTGCTACTTTCCAGTCTCCTCCCTTACCACACACACATTTCAGATTGCAAGACTCCCAGTGCTTAATGGCTTCAGAGTGGTGAGTCCGTCTGAAAAATTACATATTTTAATTCATAGTTATGCATTATAGGATAATGGGATTTCTCAAATTGTTAGACTACATCATGCTGTTTGGCCTAGCAGCTTTACAGCACAATAATTAAACCAATACACAGTGACATTTTCAAAGGGGAAAGGAGTCCCTGTGGGTTTGAAGTTATTTACCCAACAGTTGTTAATAATGACCATCTGCTATCAGACAATAGGTGTCAAATGGACATTTTGGCACACTAGCTACCTGCCAAGAGGAAAATAATCAAAACCACATTTCTTGCTCCTAAATCTTCATAAACAAACTAAGTTAGCAAAACCCCATAGTAATTAAGAAGAAAAAAAAAAAAAACAAAAAAAACCCCCACAACCGAAGACCAAAAGAGCCCAAGGAACAAGCTCCATTTTTCACTCATTGTAAAGGAACGGGTTACAATTTGTGTCATCGGATAGCAACTTTTGGCAGGAAGGGAGTCAGATGAAGATTCTAACCTACATCAGAACAGAAGACAGAACAAGTCATTGTTCCAAGTATGCTGTATGCTTGCAAACCATAGAGGAAAAGAAGCTGTTTGACAGAATGCTCAATTATTTTCTGTGCTCCCCATCTGTCTTCCCCAAAATTATTTCCTGACTTTTTTTTTTTTTTTTTTTTTTTACAGGATTCTCCTCTAGGGAATTTTATTTTCAGTCAACTCTTAAACTATGCGGATAGGGAATATACTTTCAACATCTACTAATAAGCTTACCTGAAGATTCTCTTTTACGGGCTCTAATTTGCCAGTCAGCAGCCTAGGAAAACGAATTACCAGATCCTTTGTCTGCAATTAGGGAGAACCCACAGACAGAAGAAAGATTATTATTGACAGCATGCCTACAAACTTATCCATGAGGGGAAAAACTTTATTTTGCAATTAGAAAAGGAACGAACTTTCACTTGCATTTCATTAGAACTCTAATACAAAAATGAGTAAATTCTTTGCATCTTGATAAATTAAATCTTCATGCAAAATCAAATGTATTTTTTTGTTATCCAAATGAACATGACTGTAGCCACTACAAAACAGATTGGAAGACAAGAGTAAAAGCATTCCCCAGAAGAAGAAAGCATACTGAAGAGCCCTTTCTCGTTCTCAGTGCTTGAGTTGTTTCTCTTCATCTTTTTAAAAAGAAATAAGCAAAACGAAACTACCTGATAGAGGCTATAAAAGAATTTTTCAATTGCAGTACTTTATCTGTCCCCTTCAGGACCTACTAACACCATAGTACTATGGAAATAAAAGAAATTACTCCATGTCTCCTGACTCATGGGATCACTTGGAATCCCCCCCAGGTACAAGGCAGGGACCTCATACCTGAAGCCTGGAAAGACCGAGAACAGGCACTGTGTCAGCTATGACTGTTTAGCTAAAGAAGCCAACAGAAAAACACAAGATTCTGCTTGAAAGCTGACATTTATTGCAATTACCTGCCATTGCAGGAAACAACTAATGCTGCCCACTCATTCTAGGAAGCTTAAAATACTAATTCTTGTCAAAATCTCAAAGCATGGTGCTAAACCTTCTAAGCACCTAACATGGTAGCGCTCTGAGAAGCGGTCTCAAAGATTACTCTCAGTGAACTGAGCACATGACAGTGTTTAGTTTGATTTGCATTTGGAGAATAGACTATTTTTCGCTGATGAATTAAGATACAGTAAGTTAAGTTACAGTATCTTGAAGAAACAAAAACAGAGAATCTGCTCAAAGTTAAAAAGATGCATGCAGTTCTCAGCAACACATTCAGTCCCATGAATGAATGCGAGTCACCAGGAGTAATAAAACTGGGTACACACGTGCTTGTTTGACAGTATCCTACAGCAGATCATCTTCAAGCACTGTATGATTCGAGCCCTCAGGATTTTTGGAATATTAGACACCCTATTACATTTTTAGAAGGTTAAAATCATGTTAATAGTCCTGTAATTCTCCACATTACATGGGCAGTGTCACTAAGGTTTGGATGACAAACATAAGTATTCATATTCTAAGGAGATGTTGCTGACAAGGTACTTAAAGACTTAAAGTACAGTTTTTACCTTTTTTACGCTGAGGCCAAGTTCATTTTTTAAGAAACCCAGTCTGTTATCCAATCTTTCCACTGAAAACAACAGCAAATATGGAGCTCTTGAGACCATCTGAGTAATTTCTGCATTACTGAATTTTTTTGATTTTAGGTAAGCCACTCTAGAAACAGAACAAAAACAAAATAAAATCCAGTGATGAAAATTTTACTGCCTTCATTTATTCAGTACTTGTTTAAATTCCTCAGTGATATCTTATAAATGGACAGATGTTCTATCATTAACATGCAACTCTGCCAAAAATAATTAGAAGGAAATCTGCAGTTATCATAAAAGCAAAATACCATCCCTCCCAATTAATTAGAAGTTAAATAAACCTTAGAGCAGAATGTCAATACTGAAGACAGATTTTAATTCCTTCCAGCTGTACTTTAGCAGATAACTATGTTAACCTACATTTAACTACCAGCCTGTCTTCTAGATTACAAACACATTAATAGATCATCATAGGATACGGACAAGAAGATATACACAGCCTGTTGCTATTTTAATGAATTCCATTTCTACTGCTGAAAGAACAAAGTAATATACCTCATACATCTCCGTTTTGCCAATAACACTGGAGAAGAAATATCACACAACAATGCCACCTGTAAAGACATTGTCCAAAGACATTCCTAAATCAGCTGTTCTGTTACAAGAGGTCTCTACTTTCAGTCACTAGTCCAAGGATTTTAGTTACAAAACATCTGCTTGTCAGAAAGTAAAGGGGCTGACTGATGTTTTTATATCTAATAAAACTATCTTTCTTTCCAGCTCAGATTTTTTTTTTTCCCCCTAACTTCATTGAGTTTGATGTGCAGAGTATGCTTGGAGGCCTGTAACTAGCCATGATCCCCAGGGGTCAGTACTGGGTCCGGTCTTGTTCAACATCTTCATCAATGACGTGGACGAAGGGATAGAGTCCATCCACAGCAAGTTTGCTGATGATACAAATCTGGGAGGAGTGGCTGACACACCAGATGGCTGTGCTGCCATTCAACAAGATCTGGACAAACTAGTAAGCTGTGCAGGGAGGAATACAATGAGGCTTAAGAAGAGCAAGTACAGAGTATTCTTCCTGGGGAAGAATAACCGCATGCACCAGTACAGCTAATGGGCTGACCTGCTGGAGAGGAGCTCTGCGGAGAATGACCTGGATGTTCTGGTGAACAACAGGTTGGCCAGGAGGCAGCACTGCGCCCCTGTGCCCAAGCCCAATGGTATCCTGGGATGCATTAAAGAGAGCGTGGCCAGAGATCAAGGGAGGTGATCCTCTCCCTCTTCTGCCCTGATGAGGTCACATTTAGAATACTGTGACCAATTCCTGGCTCCTCAGTTAAAAATTAAAAAGAATACAGGGATCTCCTAGGAGTTCAGCAGAGGGACACAAAGATGATAAAGGGCCCGGAGCATCTCCTGTAAGAAGAAAGGTTGAGTAACCTGGGTTTGTTCTGTCTAGGGAAAAGAAGACTGAGAAGGGATCTGATTAATGTTTATAAATATCTAAAAGAGGGTGGGGAGGCAAACAGATGAGGCCAGGCTCTTCTTGGAGGTGTGTAGCAATAGGACAAGGAGTAATGGTCTAAAACTTGAAAACAGAATTTCCATAAAAACATGTGGAAGAACTTTATGGTAAGGGTGACAGAGTACTGGAACACATTGCCCAGAGAGGGTGTGGAGTCTTCTTCTACAGAGATATTCAAGACCAATTGTGTAACCTATTATAAGGCACCTGCTTTAGCAGGGGGGGTTAAACTCAATGATCTTTAAAGATCCCTCCCAACCCCTGAAATTCTGTGATCCTGTGAATTCAGTGAAAATGAAATCCTGTTTCAAGCACTACTGCAATATTACTGAGGGGCCTAGAGCAAAAGTTTTATGAAGAGCAGCTGAAGAAACTGGGATTGTTCATTCTAGAGAAAAGAAGGCTCAGGGGAGACCTTATTTCTCTCTACAACTGCCTGAAAGGAGGTTATGGTGAGGTGGGGGTCAACCTCCTCTCCTGCATAACTAGCAATAAAACTAGAGGGCACGGCCTCAAGTTATGCCAGAGGAGATTTAAGTTGGATGTTAGGAAAAATTCCTTCTCTGAAACAACAGTCAGACACTGGATTGCGATGCCCAGGGAGATGGTGGAGTCACCATCCCTGAAGGTGTTAAAAAAATGCTGAGATGGGAAAATACAGGGTACAAAAGAGACATGATTAACCTATGTGCCACCTGTATGGGAAATGTTAGGTTACAGCCTGAACCAGTGATTGAGCACCTGGTGAAGGGACATAGCCAGCCCTAGGAGCACAGGTGGAAGCAATTCACCTGTTTGCCCAGAAGGGGGGACCCTGGGCCTATCCCTCCATAATAACATTTAAGGGCTGGCAACTGCATGGAGACTGTCACCTTTGGAGTGTTGTGTGAGCCCTAGTCCTTTGAGAGTGATAAAAGATTTCTTCTTTATTACTAGACTGTGACCTTTCTTGGGTGATACAAAACCGGTTTAAAGCAGCTATATCTGCTATTGCCTGTCCTTACATCACCATTTACTAAGAACTGTCCTACCATTTGAAAAGGTTTGCTTTGAATACAGACATTCAGAAACATAAGCAATTGTTGTTAGATGAAAATTGGTCATATAAGAACTGATTTGACAGCAACTGAGATACCGTCTAGACTGCAGAATGTTCTGCAGAAGCAGATATTCTGCAAATGATGCTTACTCCTAGAGTAGGAAAAAAAGAGGCTGTATTAAATTATACCTTTTTGAGTGAAGAAGTAAAAATACCTTCCAATTACTATATCCTTTTCTACAAAGTCTCAGAAATTAGATCACCATGTGCCAAAAAACTACAGAACAAACTCAAGAATAAGCTCCAGAGGACCAATTCTTAACTAAGAAGGCATCTCAACTCAAAGAGTAGCAGCCTAGTCTCCAGGCAATACTAACACTGGCTACAGTAGCTTCAGAGACTGAGAGATGACAAGGAAGAGAAATACAGGACTCAAAAATAATTATTCCTTCATAGTTTATCTCATTTTTTTGAATGCTGCAGGTTGGCTGTGCTGTATTTCTTCTGTTTTTCAAGGCTTTACCTGTCAAGCATCTTAAAAACACAGCTAAATGAGCAGTCAAAAAAAAACAAAAACAAAAACAACTTTCATTTGTTTTGACTCTTTTCCTTTTGTTTTCTGTTAACAAGTCATTGAGATTCACACTTGAAGCACTTCTGGGCAATCTGGAAAGGCTTTTAAAAGGGGGATAGCAAGATTATAATCAGCTGAATCTAGAAGATAGTACATTAGAGAACAGTCATTCAATCTGACCAAGGCTAGAGATAACTTTGTGAGTATTGGCACTAAGGTTAGCTCTCATTCTTACTGCAGGGGTCAGCAGTTCTATGTAGCACGTTAAGAGTTTTAAGTCATCATTAATAATTCTGTAAAAACAAAGCATCTGGTGCAGCTGCAGTACAGACACTGATTTGCAACTGTCAAATTATTATGAATTATGGAATGTTTTGACTTTTACAGTGTTTATCCAAAGTCAAATGCCAAATCTATGAAAATTTGTGTTTTGTTTCCTGGCAATGTGGAATCCATAGCAATAAAACATTCCAGCGTGATGTAACCGATACCACGTCCATCTGTGATGGAGTGTTTATATAAAGGTGATACTCAGCTTTCAAAAGACAGCTATTTGAGACATGTTCAGCCTCTGTGGAACGCTTACCTTAAAGTTAGTGGAAAGGCATTCATCAATGCCAATCTGGGATAAACTTACTGAAAAAAAAAAAAAATCGGGCTGTGGAATACAAATAAGAAACTGGATTGCCTCCTTCAGCCCCAGTCTCACAGACTGCCACAGAACAGTCACTGAAAGATGGATCTAACTTCACAGGTGAGTTACAAAACTTATTGTAGCAAAACCTACTCTCTTCTGGAAAACTTAAGTAACTCAGACAATCTCAACTCAAACACTACTGCTGAAAAATCAGCTAGGTTAGTTTTGCCTACCGTTTCTAAAAGGCCACTTAGTGAATAAGCAGATGGAAGAGCAGAAGAAAAATGAGAAAAAAAAATCAAGTCTGTGTTTGACGTGAGTACGCTAATATACCTGCTTCCATAAAGATGTACTTTCACAGCTCAGTCTTGGAAAGTTATTACATACATAACCCAACCAGACAGAGGTTTTTTTTCCAATTTCTAAATAGCAGGATATTTTGAGTTCTTTGCAAAGCATGTGTGTATGTACATGAGTTGTTCTGAAAACAAAAGAAAAGTGTTCAGTTAACGCAAGCCTCCTTGACGTACTTTTGACATTGTGTCCATCTCCTGCAATTTTTCTGGTCTATAATCAACACATCTAATGAAAGTATGCATCAGAAGAATTCAATCACTCCATTTCAGAATCTAACCCTTACTAAAGATAGGCAACAGGCAAATACAGATGAATAAAGAAAGCTAGAATCTCTATGGCTACAAGATAAATCAGTATAGCTTGGTGCTGGTACCTTGAGTATTTCATAACTTAATGGTGTCCCACCTGTAAACATTTGGAAGGAAGCAGTAAAACAGGAGAATAAAGAGAAACTGTTTCTATCCATAAAACAACAAGGAGAGTCATTACATCAGCACTGTGGCAAGGAACATTCGCACAGAAATACATGCTCCAAACCTACATTCAATTACTTTGGCTAAATGAAGAACTAAAAGCTCTTTTTTTGAGGAAAGAAATATATTTAAGATAATACATAGCAATATCTTTAGTATTTTTAATTTGGGATATTTAACTTTAGGAAGGATTTTGTTTAAAAGTGAAGGGTTTCCTGTCACAGATACAAATTTCATCTTTAAAGTTCTAGAAATAATACTCCAAAGTTAACAATCTAAAAATACTCAGGACAGACTTCTGTGAAGGTATATTCACAGTTACCACCATTATGTCATTATATCTCTAGAAATGATCAGACAAAGAATTGTTAATGAAATAATTACTGTTAAAGAAGATGTTCCACTGTTGGCAGAGAACAGGTAATACTATTAAACAGCTTGATTCAGACAACTAACCAACTCAAAACCTAAAACCAACAAAATTGGTAGATACACTGACAACTTCCAACACAAATCCCATCACTTTACAAGTCATGCTGCTGGAGAAACAGGTGTATATACATACATTTTTCTTATTTCTTCAGTGCTTACTTTCAGACAAGTAGCTATTACATTCAGAACAAAGTGTCTTCTGAAGCATGTGCAATCAAGGGGCAGTCTCCTTGTTAAGTCAGTTCCAAGTTGCTACTAAAAGAGACACTCTTTTCTGTTTATTCTCCTTTCTGAAGTATGTGTCTCATCTTTTTATGGAGGTACGGCTTTGCATCTTGTTAAGTCAGAGTGAAAACTGGAGCAGTAAAATTTGATATGATGGTCAGTTTTCAAATGCATCGGAGCACTGATTTGACTTATGACACCACCACCATGTGTTAATGCTGACTGATGGGAAAAGGAACGTGGAGCCAGGAGCTGAATATATGTGGCAGCAACACACATTCAGACAAGCTTAAGCCAATTGGGAAACTTCAACCCTAAGGCCTTAGCACCACGTTGATATTTTATGGGCATACCTGGTTTCTAGAGCTTCCAGATCTTCACCAAGGATGTATGGATTTTTGGTTAGGAACGGTCCCAGCTGACTGTCTTCTATACCCACATCCTTCAGAAACAGAAGTATCTTAGTTATATCTTTTTCAAAGTCCAAGGTCAGTAAGAGTTGACCTGCCTTTTGACGTTTCTCCACTTGAGATAAATCAACTCCTAGAAACAAATAAAATGAGGGACTGTTTTAATTAAACACAGACCTGATTTCCTATAAATGTTTCAGAAAGTCATGCTGAAGTTTCTAAGGAGTAGTATGTATGTATATATTTTTACATACATATATACACACACATATATATATATATATATATAAAATTTTCCTCTTATTTAACATACCTTGCTGAATACACGAAGATTGCATATTATGGAAATGTTCCAGATAAAACAAACAGACTGTTTTCAGACTCTTTTGCTAAATTTGTTTGCTGAAGAGAGATATCTTCAGTGAATCCCGAATGTGAGAAATTGAGCATGCTAGTATGTACTGCATGCAGAGACCTGTCTTGTAGCACAGAAATATGTACAAGGAACTCCTAACTCCATTACATAAGGGAAGGGGACAATTTCAGTGAAGTATCCTTGCTGTGTGACTCATGCACAGCTTTTTCCATTCACCCTGCATAATATTCTGCTGCCCTTCTTACTGGTCATTGTTTCCATAGCCTGAAATGTTCAGGTTTACAAAACCACCAGTAAGATCAAAACACAAACTGCAGAACTTCCAAAGCTTCAGACACACAGAAAGCACGTAAACAAAATCACACACACCTAGGTGGACAAGGTTGGTCAGGGTTTCTGAGTGATCAACATAATCTCGAAGTGTGGAAGACTGAGGAGGAAGAAGTGGATCTGCAATGATCTTCACAGCTTCTTCCTCGGAAATCTCCTCCAAAGCAGATGAAGGTGGAACATCATCCCAGTCTAAGAAATAAATACAGAAGATCAAGGTGCATTTTGTGAATGACGAAGCTGCTCCCCTCAAAGGCTATGGAGATCTCCTCAAATCCATCTCAAAAAGCAAGAACATTTTTTGCAAGAAGTGAACAGCAAATCTATTGTTATTTGAAAGGACATGCAAAAAGATTCTGCTCCCAGTTTTTGCCTCTGTGACATTTCCTTGTCACTGTACATCAACTCTTGCTCAAAACGCTAAATCTGAGCCAAATGCCCAACAACCCTGCCTTCAGCCTCCAGCTTCATCACTGCAGACAACAGAACACATCACTTTATTGAAAAATACTTCTTTCCTGTCTTCCCAAATACATTTTTGCCTGATCAAATCCAGACCAAAAGCTACTGGAAAAATTATTTTTAATTACCTGGTAGGTCCACTGTCTTGCACCTCTTTTAAATACAGTGCTTGAACTGCAGTTGTTTTTAACTGTCAAGGTATTTCACAGACACCTTCAATTCAGCTATCATATCTCAACCATTAGAGAATAACTGCTGACTGCCACCACCTCTGACAGCTAAAAAATTTGAGCTCCATTCCTACTTATTAACATTCCCAAATAAGCACCATTGTGTTTGCTCCCACTCACCTGTTCAGTTACAGAATTTGCTCTCTTTTTTGAAAATATTTCCTCTCAACTCATCTATTTCTCAAGTGACAGGAACTTGCAGTTGGCAAATCAGAATTGTTATTTTGAAGGCTGTCCATCAGCGTTCACCTCAATTGTTCAACTGACTACTAATCAGCAGCACTAATTATAAACTCCCCTGGATGGGGATTTTTTGAGTCCTGTACCTTAGTTAGCACAATGACTTCCTACACACTTGGGTGAGACTCTTAAGTGGCAAAAAACACAAACCTGAACTACAAAGACAGGTTTCAAAATAAGCAGGAAGATGCTATTTTTCTAGGAAGTGTTGCATAGACTAATTCAATTGTTGCAGCTCTTGCCACTTCAAAGCCTCGGCAAAAAAAAGCCCAATAAAACACTTTTAGCAACACTTACATCTTAAACAGTAATAAGAGCTCTCCAGGAGTCTATATGGATATGATGCACTTCCATTCAGGAACAAATCAATATAGACTACAATTCATTCTCATATCACAGATGCACTTCCCCCCCCCCCCCCCCCCCCCACTCAAAGTTCTTTAAACTTCCTATGATAAAATAGATCTCAAATTAATAAATCATAATTAAAAAAAAATATAAGCTATGTCTCTCCTATTACATACTGCCAACTGGGCAAACTGCTCCACATACTTGCACAACAGTAAATGTGCCTGCAGATCAAATCTGGCACGTAAACAAACTGTGCTGCAGGTGCAGAGACATATAAGCTGGCTGACCTGTTAGATCTGGTGCTGCACTGTTTCCAGAACCAGCTGCACAAATACACAGGTCTCAGATGCAGCTCTGAGCCACCCCAAAAATAAGCTCTGTAAGATCCAAGCTGTCTGGGCTCAAAGCTGAATCTGAATATGTAAGACTGCTTTATTACTCCAGATCATGTTTCCTCAGCATACTGACATTATTTCCAGATAACAGTATTTTTTATTTTTACATCCTCTCTCAGACATGAATATAAAAAAAAGGCCACTCTGAAAATATTTAGTAGAGAAAAGTGAGGCAGACAACTCCAAGATCTATCTCCCTCAGGAGACAATTTGACAAGCACTTCTCATTACGGCAGTGCTTCACACTTTGTTGCCTCCTGTTGCCTACTCTGGACCAACTCTCAGTGTTGCGTGAATTGCTTTGCACTGCTTTCCCCCACCCCTGCTCAGCTGCTGCAGATAGTTATAAAAACAAAATGCCTTCAAGGATCTGCTCCAACCCACCACATTACAACTTTATTTTGGATTAGCTCAATTTTTGGATTTTGGATTTATATGCTATGGAGCTGCAGCAGGAATTCTACGTTAACTATGGGAGTAAAACCAAATGAAAGGAAAGCCAGATAAATGTAAGAGCTGCTCTGAAAGTAATGCCTCCTATCTTATTTTGTTGGCTTGCAGTGTCAGAGGTGGATATTGGTGATATGTCAGGAGATGTTGCACCTTCCCACCGATATTTTGGTACATTTTGTTGCTGTGTGACAGATGGCAGCAGAGAGGCAGTCTGATAGAATAGCATCAGCAGAAGTGAGGAAGCAAAGGCCCGTCATTGAATTCCTCCACGTGAGGAAGAAATGGCATCCATTGACATTCATTGATGCTTACTGAATGCTGATGGAGAACAGATAGTGGACGTGAGCACAGTGAGGCAGTGGGTGCTGCATTTCAGTGGTGGCAAGAGCAGATCAACTCCACTGGTGTAGATGTTTACATCTACATGTAGGCTCTTCTTCATCACTGCCAAAAATGAATAGCTAACAGTGGTGACTATGTTGGAAAACTGTTTTGTAGCTGAGAATTTGCCCTATCAAATAGCTATTGTGCTCTTCGCACCTATTGTAGTTTGCATGGAAATAAACAGGAGGCGTTACTTTCAAAACAACTTGTGTACTTCAGTTAAACAGGTCAGAAAAGAAAGAACAGAATAAAAAAGAGCGCCAACAGCAATACTGAACGCAGGACTCTCTGAGGTCTCTTACCTTCATACAGTTTGGCTGCGCTCAGGTCAGAGACCGTCTCTGGTGCCGCCTGCTCCTGCTTTACTGCTACAGGCAGGCTGCTTCTGGGAGCACAGGCCTCGCCCTTGGCACGGGAGGGCCGGGCATAGTCTCCTACAGATACATGCAGCCTCCACGGAGGAAGCCTGCGCCCAGAGAGCAGCGCAGGCAGCGGGGCCGCCCCACAGCACGCCCGCGCGGCGCCGCCGCGGCTCCTCTGGCCCAGCAAGCCGGCGGCCCTCAGCCAGCCGCAGCGGGCGGCGAGCCGAGCCCACACGGCCATCCACCGCCTCCACGCGGTGCTCCGCAGTGCACAAGAGGCGGAGGGAGGGAGCGAAGCACGCTCACCTCACCCACAGGGCAGCATCACAGCCCCATTCTCAACCCCCATCGGCCTCCCAGCCCAGCAACCCCTGCGCGGGGCGGGGGGAAGGAGGAGAACTGGCGCTCGGGCGAGACCATTCGGGAGCGGGGAGAGGGGCGGCAGAGGGGAAAGGGTCGTCCCACCGCTTCTACCAGGAGGCGGCTCGGCTTCGCTCCGCCCACCCCCCGCCTTCTCCCGTCGCGTGGGTGAACGGCAGAGCTGGGTCCGCCCCTCGGCGCGGCGGGCGCGGCGGCTTTCCCCTCGGCGGCGGTGTCGCCGGGCTCGGGTGGGGCGGGCCGGGCCGAGCCGAGGGGAAGGGGTCGAGATGGCGGCGTGCGTGGGGAGCCGGACCCTGAGCAAGGACGACGTGAACTACCGCCTGCACTTCCGCATGATCAACGAGCAGCAGGTGGAGGACATCACGCTGGAGTTTTTCTACCGGCCGCACACCATAACCCTCCTCAGCTTCACCATCCTCAGCCTCATGGCCTTCGCTTTCACCAGGTGTGGGTGCCCCTCCCCGCTCCGTCCCCGCGCCGCGCCCCTGGGTGAGGGGGAAGGAGAAGGGGGGCGCGCGGGGCGAGAGCGGGAGCTGTGCATGCAGCAGCGGGCCGTGTGCGCCGTGCTCTGAGGGAGCCCTGCGGGGAGAGCCTTCAATGAGGGGCCGTCCTCTGCCGCTGCCCCTCCTCGGGCTTGTCCGCCGTTTTGTGGCTTCCTTTACGGAAAAAAAAACGAGCGTGTGCTTTGAGCAGTAGCCAGAAATGGCTCTCCTTGGGCTATCAAGGAGCTCAGCGATGACATCACCCAAGTAGTAATTTACCAAGTGTGCGGTGGGCAGAAGTGGCTGCTTTGTGCTGTCATTTGCATGTAACTTCTGAGGGTAATCACACGTGGACTTAGGCCCCTGTTCTGGTAAGCCCGGCCACGTCCTTTCCCCACCACAGGAAAAGCTCTGTGGGTTTCACTGCTGCGCTCGTTTATGGTGATAAAGCTCAGAGTGGGCACAGGTAACTCCAGGAGCCCCGTTTGTAAACGAAGTGTGTAGCAGTGTCCATGGGGTATGTTGCGCTGCTTTTCCAGGTTTCCCATTCGTTTTGTTCCTCCTATTGAGTGGATCTGGGGATGTGATGGCATTACGATCCTCCCCAAAGCGATGTCATGCAGCCTCTGATAGAATTATGGAATCATTAAGGTTTGGAAAGGCCACTAAGATCATCTCCAACCAGTCTAACCATCAACCCACTTCCACCATAACCCACTAAAAGCACATCCCTCAGTATCACAAGATCGTTGAGGCTGGGAAAGATTAAAAGTGATTCCTGTGAGGTTCTAACTAAACTAATGCGTTGAGTTTTGGACTCATTGATGCTTTAGTGCTGTAGTATGTATTTAATCTCAGATTGCAGTAGCCTCGTTGATTATACTCTGCCTTTGACAGTGGAACATAATTATTTATCCCTAGGGTTGTGATACAATTTGGTGTGTCATGTGTATTAAAGATTCAAATGGGTAGGTTCTATCAGCTGCAGAAGTAACAATTGTGCCTGGGCTGGGCTGAGAAAATAGCATGAGGAAGCGTAAAAGTGTGTAGCAGCACATGGCCCTGAGTGTGTGTTTTCTTCTTGTATTTTCTATATATGGCCCCAGTGAAGGTGTTCTTGATAAACACTTGTTCTACTCAGGTGGCAAGATTTTAGCTGAGGGTGACTGTCTGAGAGATCTCTCTTTAATTCTTAAATTAGAGGTATGTTTCTATGCTTTGGTATGATATTGAATTAGGAATCTTTCCTATGAGGGCCCTATTTCTCCATCTGGTAACTCGTCCTGTTGTAGGGCTGATTTAGGTCAAATTGATCTAATTTAAGTCAAATTTATGAGTTATTAGGGAATTCTCATCCAAATATCATTCTGAAGGATTAATGGAATTGATCACTCACCTTTGGGAGAAGAAAGGACTTTTACCTTTAATTCTTCCAAGTAGAGGATGAGTCAGCCAGCAAGCTCAGAACTACAGTCTTCATGGCCCTTGGAATATTTCTTTAATGTCGTGGTGGTTACTTGTTCCCCAAGAGGATTGCTGTCTTTTATTTCCATTTGTCTTGGTAGCTTTCTAACTGACTTCTGTTTCATTTTCTTCTCCCTGTCTGCCTTTCTTCTCTGCCTCACTTCCTGTGTTTAAGTACTATCAGCTTCTCTTTAACTCTTCTCTTATTCTCTTCACAGGGTGTGAGAGTTACTTTTTTCTTTGTTTGCTTTCGTGTTCATTTTTTTCCTCTTTTTCTGCTATCTCCAGCTCTCCCAGGAGTTTTTTAAATGGGGATGATACCAATGTGCTGCCTCTGTTGCCTTATTTGGAACACTACCCAAACCATATGTTCTCTTTGAGAAGCTGAGATGGAGAGGGAATAGTACCCAACATGCTGTCAGTGTGTGTTCCCAGCTCTCATCTTCCTACTCCCACCAGCTTACTGTGTGAATCTCCAGTGGCTGCATTTGGATTTCTATCTCAAGGGCTCTAAGGACTGTACACAGTTCAGATGTGAGAGATTCTTCTTCTTTGCTTCCTTTCTGCTGTCAGTTGTTCCATAGCGCCCCTGATCAATTATATTAAGCAAGGGATTTTCCACAATACATTCATCTTCAGTAAATTATTTTTGTTTTCAGGAACTGCAGTGCAGGCAGAGGAAATTCTGCTTCCTTTGAAGTCTCTCTTGCCTCTTCTGTAATTGTTCAGTGTCAGGAATACAAGAGGGTTCAGATCAAATTAGAAAATACTTTTCTCTTGGATGCAGCAAGCCATAATGTGGAGGCTCCCTTGGGATCAATGAGAGTAAGATGATACTGACTTTGAGCTGACAACTGATGATGAAACTCTGCTTCAGATAGCAGTAACATTCTCGTATTAATCATAATCCAGAGAAAGAAGAGTGTTTTTAGCTTCTCCATTTTAAAGTGTGGAGTAGTGGGTTATCTGTTTTTAAAGCACATCCTTCTAGTGCCTCTGACAATGGCTGCAGCTGCCTTGCTTGTTTCCTGTTGAATGAGCCAGACAGCGGCTCCTCTGCTTCCAGGCTGCACCCAGAGCAGAGGAGTGGAGTGGCTCTAGCTCTCCTTATTCTTTCCCTCCCTTGAGAAAGGAAATGGTGGCCCTGCAGGAGGGCTGCTGGAAGAAGGACTGAGGGAGGTGGCAGACTGGCAGCTTCTAGCGTGATGTGCATGGCTTTATAGGAGCAGGAACAAGACCTATGAGGGTGTTGATCTGTAGTTTTTTACATCCCTTTGTTCAAACTGGATTATTATGGATTTAGGTGCATTTTTGGAAGACTCTCTTTTTTCCTCCCACATGCTCTAAATTTAGTGCTCTAACTATTTTTATTCCAGTTCAGTGTCCTAATTTTTTTTTTTTCTTATGTGATAAGAAATGTTTATGTTTTTGTAATGTGTTAGTTTATTACAGTGCTCTGGAATGGGGAGAAGATCAAGAGAGAGGAAAAGATCGTGCAGATATGATACACTTTGGGTTTTTTATTATTTCTGCAGAAAGACCCAGACTTGAAAAATACATTTGTGAAGTGGGTTTAAGCTGTAAGAATTTTCTTCTGTCCTCCCACACAAGCCTCATTTGTGCTGCGTGAGTGCTTATATTTCAAAGTCAGCATCAAAGTTCCTAAGGCGAAGTGAAGAGATGATTTAGCACATTTTCCTGATTGCAGCTTGTCGTGATTGCCTCTTTCCTCTGACAGTTATTTTGCTTCTCTGTTTCTTTTGGTGTTCCCCAAAATAACTTTTCAGGAAAGCACTGTAATTCTTATCCTAACCATCTCCTGCTGCTGCCTGCCTTTACCTGCTTCTGGCAAGGAGATGGGGTACCTATGCCTTCTCAAAGGTAACTCTGACCAAAATGAAATGCTTCTACCACTCGCTTGGAACGAGAAGCAGTTTAACGCTTCATGCAGTGTCTCTCTGGCACTCTTTTCCCCCTAAACCAATAAGATTAGAACAGCATTGCTGAAACTGAGTGATACCCTCAATGCTGATAAGCAAAGGTGAGGGCCTTGGAGTGAGAATCAATTGATGTGATCACAGTGCCCTTCAGTTCTTATCTGGCTGCACTGAACTGTGTGCTGATACGACTTCAGGAACTTCTTATTTCTTCAGAAAATAATAAGGAATCCCCATACTCGATGACACCAGTGACAGTGTGTGAGTGTGTGTTATTTGTGTATGTTAAAGCAGGAATATGGCTTCGTCTGAGCTGTTGGAATCTGGCGCTCTGTCTGGAAAAGCTGTGGATAACACCAGGCTTTTGGGGTTGCCAAGGAAGCCAGAGTTTAGGCCAGGAGCTCAGGATTCAGCCTGTGCAGCATGACTGCAGGAGAATGACTGGTGTATCTGCTGGTGTATCTATCTGGAGTCAGCTGGTTTGAGAGAAATGCTGTACGGAATCCCAAAGGCCTGCAGAGGAACCATTCATGTTTAATGTACTTTTTCCTGCCATACAGATGAACTAACGCAGTGCTTAAGTGCCTCATGATGATGAGGGTCTGCTATGGAACTGTTGAGGTGCAATTTTGAGGGAAAGGAAAATAATCTGGCAAAGTGAGAAATATTTTATGACTGTAGCATATATCTAAGGTGGAACACATTTATGCTGCCACAGATTCTTTGCTGAACCATTCAGCCATGTGCCAGATGCTCTACCAGGAAGACCTGTTGTCCCTCTAACATTGATAGGGATTTTTCTTTATTTATATCACGTACTGGGAATAAATAAAGGAATTATTTAAATAGATAAACTGACCACAAGTACATGAAAGTACCACGATAGTAAAACTCGGAGTAGAACTAGCTGATGCATTGTTAAATATTACTTTATATATTACTAATAATGTGCTTATAATTATAGTTGGAAGTTTTTCCATGCCTATTACTGAGGTCTGCTAGAAGCTGACTGCTGATGAGACTTGGATATGTTTTTTGGTCATCTTTCTGCACTATATCTTTTATTTTCTAACATCTTGAGAAGAAAGAGGAGCTCAGTCAAGTGTGCCATGTTATTCCAAACTGAATTTTTAGATCTCTCTTCTGGCTGTAATATGACAATAGCACAAATGTT